GAAGTCAAGCCATGATAGCAGTTGGAAGGGAGACAGCCAGGAATTACAAAAGCATAGGATCATAGAGTTGGAAGAGACCACAAGACCATCAGATTCAACCTCCTGCCATGCAGGAATACACAGTCAAAACACCCCCAACATATGTCCATCCAGATTCTGTATAAAAACCTCCAAAGAAGAAGTAGAAGTACCAGGAGCTGTAGGCTATATTCAGAGGAAGGCAATGGCAAACCACCCCGAGTATTCTTTGCCTAACAAAACCCAATGAAATTCATGAGCTAATACATCACAGGTATTATGAACATATGTACTTTGAACCAGTGTGGTGCAGTGGTATGATTGTTGGATTAGGATGCTGGTAAACAAGGATTCAAATTCCTACACAGCTATGAAAATCCACTGGATGATCTTGTGCAAGTCACACTCTCTCAGTCTTAGAGGAAAGCAATGGCAAACCTCTGCTGAAGTATAGGGTTGCTGAAGTCAGGATCAATTTGAAACAGCAATGATGAGGGAATATCTTGTCAATTTTTCTCTTCTTGGTATTGGTTCAAGATAGGGGTGGGCAACTGTGGGAGGCAGTGTGTGTGTGTGTGTGTGTGTGTGTGTGTGTGTGTGTAGTAGCCCTGAAGAGACCTATGAGGGCTGCTCCGCCATTGAAAAAAAAAATAGAAATTGAATTAATTTTTAAAATTGTCCTCAAATAACCTGTAGGGAGGTTGAGCATATTTTTCCCATGCTTTTAGGCCTCCCTGATCCTCTACAGGCCTAGGAGAGGCCATTATTTTAAAACAAAAAGTAGTTGGAAATCACTTTCCAGTTTACTTCCTATTTTAGAAAATGTCCTTCTTGGCCCTAAAATGACACGGGTGGGAATTGTAGTGAAAATGCCCCCACACCTCCTAGAAAGTCTGGGGGGGGGGGGAAACCAATGGGTCACACTTTGCCCAACTCTGGTTGAATCTCACCCTCTTCCCTATGTACTCCCCCCCCCCAAAAAAGCAGGGGGAGAATGACACAATCTCTTCCATGTACTGCCTTTCTGCTCTAACTTGCAATATTCAAGAAATATCAGATGTTTGTTCATATGATTCCTGGGCAATGTCTAAAATGTGTCTGGTGAGATATCAATGGAACAAACTGTTTCACCAACTTCTTTCATTCCAAGAAATCTGGCTATTATTCTACCATCTGTGTTGGTACTTTGGAAGAACCAGTCATTTTTTTGTGATTAACTGTCCTGGAAAATAATCTGAGTTTGATGTTAGAAGGTCCAAAGTCAATTAAAGTGGCACAGGCTCTTTTGCTCACTACTGTGTTGCTTTCCTGACCAAGTCATTTTGCTGGATTTGTCCTGCAAAGAGAAAATCCTGGAAGCAACACCTCCCTTCCCCAACAGTAGCAAAAAGAATGAAATAATATCAAACTATTTGATTCCTTTTCCTGACATCAAAGATCTGTTGCTTCATTCTGCCTTATGGCAGAGCTGGTCCTGTCATGTCTAGAAGCAAGGAAAGACAAGTTGGGTGATATTTGCTAGTCATAGCTATTGCCATCAGCTCAGGGGATCCTATAATAGTAGATGGGTGTCGGTGGCTAATAGCTGCTGCAGCCTTGCCTAAGTTGCGTGTTCTTTCTCATTAATAACTCTTGCTGTCTTGACAAGACTTTGGTCTAATCTGCACTGCAGAAATAATGCAGTTTGACACTGTTTTAACTGCCATGGCTCAATGCTTTGAAATTCCAGGATTTATAGTTTTGTGAGATTTTTAGCCTTCTCTATCAAAGCGCTCTGGTGCCACAACAAATTACAAATCCTAGAATTCCTTAAGCTTATTTGGAGGTTCTAGCAGGGGAGCACAGCTATCGTATACCCTTGACCTAAGAACGGTACACTCCTTCTATCTGGGATGGTTGTCGTCTTCCACCGAGCACGCAGCTTTGGGAGGGATGCACATGGAGCGGTGAGGGAGGAAGGGGACACCCACCTAGCCAGCCAGATCAGCCGAATCAACCCTGGCGATCAATGGGGTGACAGATGTCGCAGCCAGATTGCTCTCACATCCTCATAGAATTCCATAGCATTGAACCATGGCAGTTAAATCAGTGTCAAACTGCATTATTTTTGCAGTGCAGATGTTGCCTCCGATGTTTCTTGGCCACATGTTTTTCAGTTTTTACCCGTGAAATGTTGGAGAGCATGGTGGATTCAAGATAGAGACTTGTGTTGTGA